TTTACGAAGGTTAATTGAAAATCCGGCTTTAGACAAAGCATCAAGAACTAATTTTAGTTTACAAAATCCATCCTCAAGTGTGATGGAGGGTATTACTATGTCATCCATGTAAACAACCGCGGTGTCATATTTTAGGTTACCTAAAGCCATATTAATTGCTCTCTGAAAGACCGCAGGACCATTGGCCAGTCCAAAAGGCATTTTTAAATACTCATACTGACCATCCGGTGTCACGAAAGCGGTTTTTGGAATCGACTCGGGATTAATCGGGATTTGGTGAAAGCCCGAAGCCATATCAAGTGACGTGAAAAATTTATTTTTGCCTAAACGATCGAGCTGATCGTCAATACGTGGCAATGGATACCGATCTCTTAAAGTTATTTTATTCAAATGACGATAATCGACACACAATCGAAATGTCCCATCTTTTTTCTTAACGAGTATAATCGGGCTCCCAAATGGAGAATTGCTCTCCCGGACGATTTCGTTTTTAATTAGATCAGCAACGATGCCACGTACTTTCTGACGCTCAAACTCCGACATACGGTAGGGATGGTGATAAACAGTTTTGTTTTCTGTCAATGTGATGGTTAATTCCCCGGTATTGACAGGTTTAATGGTAAAATCAGTAGCAGTTGACAAATTCTGATAATTCCCCAGCAGTTTGATTAGTTCAGCCATTTCTGCATGCTCCAGATCACTTGTTATTTCCGAGTTATGAATGGTTCGAGTAGAATTTGTAAGCGCAAGCATGGGCATAATTTTTTGAACGTTTTTATTTTTTATTAAAACTACATTATTTTCGTAAACATTTTCACCAACGATAACGTCATATTTGGAATGACTATGCGGCACAATAACAAGATCAAGCGTTATTTTTATTTCGGGAAACTCTACCAATGCTTTGGTAAAAGAAAAAGAATTATGTATGGTACCGTCGAACCATCGTAAAGGAGTAACACGCGGAATTTTCTTTAGATTTAATTTGTCTACCAACGTTTCTTTTATTAGCGAACACGTGGAGCCGGTATCAATTAAACAATTTGTAGTGTAACCCGAAATAACGATAGGCACAGTTTTTAACTTGTTTTCATTAAAATTATGTGAATTGAGCAAAACGTGATGAGATTTAAATTTCTTTACGGTTGGGTCCTGTCCGGACTCTGAAACTTCACTTCCTCGACTTTGTTTATTTTGCCGACGAAAACAATTTTCAATGCCGTGACCAGGTCTTTTACAATATCGGCAAACATCAAACCCTTTATTATCCGAGTTATTGGTATTCTTAGTTTTAGATTTACAATCGCGAGAAAAGTGTCCCGATTGACCGCAAGAATAACAATTTGCCTGCGTCGTTTTTTTGTGTGAAAATACATTATTTTTCTTATTCAATTCGGATGCCGATTTTTCGACCAGAGGAATTTTTATGTAATTAGAGAGAAATGCAATTAAATCACTAACAGAGGCGGCACTACAATTATAGGCCGCAGTTCTGACCGCAAGATCGTCTATTGAATGAGCAATTATTTCGATCAAATCCGAATCAGACCAACTTGCCCGCGTGCGCTTTAATTTTTCTAATTTAATTCTCGCGTATTCAACATAACTGCGCGCATCGGAACTACGATAATTTACAGCATCGCTTAACAGTTTACCCAAATTCTTTTGTTTGGGAAAAGATACAGAAAAGTCAAATTTAAAATTTTCCCACGTTTCTTCCGTGGGTTGCCATGCCGAAAACCATCTTAGTGCAGATTTTTGCAAAAATGGACCAATTCTACTCACGGTTTCCCGATCTGACCAAGCAAATTCGTTCTTATACCCTTCAATTTTTTGTAACCAAATACCACTATCCATATTGTCGGGGTCAAAACTCGGCAAGGCCAACGAAATGGGAGTGGTTTGGGTGGCTGGCGATGTGGTTGATGTCGGCGACGGCTCCTTTGTACCGACACGCTGTTGCAAATTCTCAAGGATCGACGCTATGGCGCCCAAAGATCGATTCAGTTCTTCTTCGGCCATTATAGCACACTCCAAATTACGTTAAACGATTACACGTGTACCCCACACCTGATGTTAGATTTAAATAAATCGAGATTGTTTTAAAGACGACTTTTCCGATCTTGGCGTCAATGTCGAGCGGTGCATGCCAGAGCAGGGCATCAAACTGATGCCCGTCGCCACCCTCTGCGGCGTCCCGGCTCACGCGCGCGAATAGACCCGAAGATTTCCCGACGCATCCGAAATCGATAGATCGCGCCAATATTTAAATATTCGAACGTAATCTAACACTATTATAAAGTTTAACTCTTACTTCAGGAGGCCGAGCATTACACACTTTTGATCCAGTACAGTATATATGTTTACGGCATGCTACATGATTTATATTGGTTTTATAATAGTTGGTTTTTAAAATAAATCTTATCACTGATTTGATATACAGTTGTTTAATAGTAAGCAAATTGCTCTCCTCAAAGATTAAGTTAGTCGGGTATCGCTTTTTGTTTTAAATATAAAAAAACTGCAAACTCGGCACATGCGTTCCACAGGCATTACCCTGCACCCACTAATCCATAGTTCATTATAAGCTCTATTAGCGAAAAATATACCACCTTATAGATTAGTGTTCTGATTTTGCTAGTTACATAATTAGTATCATTGTTCAAAGTAAACAGTTCGTCATCAATCGGTATGCCCTGTATATATTTTGTAACCGTTTTTCTTTTTAAGAAAGTTGTTACATTTACAACCTACGTCTGACTCATAATAGGATCCATGAAGTCTTGGTTTCTGAATATTATTAGGTAGAGATTTTCTCGATAAAGCGAAGGTAATAAAATGTATTTTGTTTATGTTTAAGGACAATAAACTATGGTCTAGCCATTAACTTAACCTTCTTAAGGTTAATTCCTCCATTCTAATCACTGCTGCATCATCAGCAAAACAAAACACATTCCTATCATTAGTTACAGACATTATTACGTTAATGTAAATGTTAAACATCAGCGGACCAAACACCGTGCTCTGCGATACACCAAGTGCCGCCTGTAACCTATTAACGTATCCGCTATTTTCACAATGTGTTCTCTTACTTGAATAGGATCTATATAGGTTATTTGCTACTCCTCTTACACCAATATCAAACAGTCTCTTCAGTATGATTCCGTGTGCCGCAGTATTCCAAAGCCTTAATCAATCAAACTGATTGTCATTAAAAATAATGACAATCAGTTTTCCAAAAATTTTTTGGATATATCGAGGACTTCAATTATTTTACTAACAGTGCTTGTTGGTGCAACCGGTCTATAGGTATTAGTCAAACAATTGCATTTTTGAGAACAACAGGGAAGACCGCAGTACTGAATACACAATTTACAATATGCTTCAAAGGGCTTAAGATGTACAATATTTATTTTTATTGCTTCAGAGTTTATGTTATCCTCGCCCTCTTTCATACCATTTTTTAAAATTTTTATGTGATCCAAAATTTCATTGTTATTGTTATTCATCTGTAATTTTTTATAGTGCAAATAGTAAGCATTTTCTTATTAGTTTTGATAATTCGTTTTTATATTTTTTATATAATCATTTCAAATATTTAATTTATTTTTGTTCAAAACGCATTGCTTTTTTAATTTGTCCCTATTTCGAATGGAAATCAGGAGAGCGCTCTTTATTCAAGGTTTTAAAATTTTTTTACTGTTCACTTTTCTAATTACCTTCATCGCTCCACCAATGCAACCTTTAATCTTTTCAAAAAAGGTATTTGTGGACACATTCACATTGTTATTCTGTTAAACATCATTCCATGATTCTTTTGAAATACAGGGTGCGGCGAAATGATAGGTACTATTTGGGATGTTAATAAAAACCAAACTACATAAAGCAAACATTTTTTTAAATTATTTTTGAAATGTACATTTTATGCCATTTAGGAACGTTATTTTTTTTTTAAATGATGTATTTTAAATGACGGCCATTATTGTCGATGCACTCTTGTAGGTTTTCGCGGAAGCGCATCATTACCCGAGGGATCATTTCTTGGGGAATAGACATGGGAATGTTTTGAACAATATCCCGGCATAAATTTGCACGAGTTTCAAAATCTCTTGCGCTTAATTCCTGCACTACCATCATTTTGTATGGATGCATTTGCAACATCAAACTGATTACGAAAGGCGCGCTGCGTCGCTATTACAGATTCCCCATTTCTAATAAACTCCTCGACAACGATGCACTCCGCTCCAAGCCATGTCGATAATTGAAAATTGCATACTTTTGTCTGCCTAACGAAAATGCGTACACAGTGTTGCCGGTTTTACAAACCGAACAACCACTATTTTATATCCTGCCTACCTTTTTGCCGCACCCTGTATATTTCGAGAGCAAGTTGTGATTAAGATATGTAAAGGTATTCTTTTTATGAGATGTTGGTTGGGCAAAGTTTAATATCATTAAATCATTCGTTCATTATCATCATTAATAGCGCATTTTTTCTTTTAACAAAATAGTGATCGATATAAGTTGCAGTTTCGTTTGTTCTTCTTGTTGCCTTGTTTATCTTGCTGGCAAAACCTTAACTCTGCATAATTGTTAAGTAGTCATTCGAAATTGGACATTCATATCCCTCACTATGATGCACACACGATTTTCAACTTGCACTATGGTATCCAGCACTCCGCTTAATTACTCAAGTTTGCATCAATAGCATGTGTACGAACGTTTATAAATTTCAGATTGCTTTTTTCTATGCTCCTGGTAATATACTTCTTTAACATACAACAAACAACCATCAAAAGTGTTAAGAGTGCTGTGGTTCCATAAAACACAGTATACTAAAGTCACTTGTGCCGTTCTGACATCACAATCTCTACCAGACTAGAAAGTTACTATACACGCTCCTTATATTTACATGCATCAAATTAATACCACCGACACTCATAAAATAGACAGACCCAAACGGTCATTTTCACTAATTAGTGTTCTGTGGTGGTTTTCAGCTTGCGATTTAGAAACGCATTTTCAGTGCGGAAATTTGACATCGTGCGTTGATATTAATAAAAGGTGCGACGGCGTAGTCGACTGCTGGGACAAGACCGACGAAATTGGCTGCGACAAAGGTAATTGTGTGCCTATTGCGGCCTTTATATCGCTACCGGATAAAATTGGAGGGAAGAAAATTGTTTCTAGCGTTCAATGTTTGGTTTTCTAGTACCTACATGGGCAAAGGTAGCTTTTTTTCTCGCACATGTCGAATCACTTTTATAGATAATAATAAACAAAGTTTTTTTTCTCTCAATTTTTTTGAAATTTATAAAACGGGTGATCTATTTTGTTTTTTTTTGCAGCAGTCAGGTGCGACGACGGTCACATACCGTGCTTAAACGGTGAATGCATCCCGAAGGAAAAGTTCTGCGACAAAAGAATCGACTGCCGAGATAAATCCGATGAACCCAAGTGGTGCCAATAGAAATAAAATAATTTTTGATAAAACGATCGTCTTATTAAAAAGTCATAACAAAAACCATACGTGACAATATAGTCACAGATCTGAGCAAAAATCGGATAGGAAGTCTAAAAACGCAGAGATTTTGGACCCGATGAGCTGGCTCGAAGCGCACCGCTTGAGAAAATTGGAAAATTGTTCCAACACGTCCTGAAATATCAATTAACGAATTAACAGTCCAAGCATAGGAGTTAAATTGTAAAAAATGACTATTAAAAAAGAGAGTTCCGGATTGTAGTGCTAGTCCTATTTAATTCTTTGATGATTACGGTTACCCTAAAATTATAGAGAAAAGTAATAAAAATGAAATGCTAGCTAATTAATACCGCGTTATTTGGAAAGTATAAAACACAACAAAAAGTAAAATAACCACGTTATCATGCTACTAGATTATAACAGCAAACTTTTTCATTTTTTCTTTCCCATTATAAAATTAACGAAGGAATATGTCATTACTTGTACACTGTGTCCGATTTTGGTCGCAACTAAGGGCTATGCCCGTTGTCAGTGAAGATGGTGGTAACTGGTAGAGGATGATTTTGGAAATTTTTTTATCTTGGGTATCCTATGAAATATCGGGAATGTGAAAAGATCATCTGACATAGATTTTTACGTAGAATTCAGAGGCGCAATCAGTTTTTCTCTGGTTTCGTATTTCTTTTTTTTTAATAGTCCAATTTGATTTCGCTTGGTATATCTAACAGTATGAGGTTATTTGCACAAATGCATTCAAAAAATGATTTTACCTTATTTATTCCTGACAATACTTACACAATAAGTTTTATAATTTGCATATAGGTCACTTAACATTTTATTTGTAATTTTGGAGATAATTAGATAGGTACTGATGTAAGTGTTTTAGATTTTTTTTGTCGGCATATTTAAAAAGTAAAATAAATGTCAATTGCCACAATAATATCAGATAGCTCCCAGCAGCCACTGAAACAGCTTTTGAACATTTGCGAATGCAACCTCCTGTTATTCTGAAAGCTTTGGAAATGATTGAAACTGTGTGTGGGTTGTGCGTAAGAGAATATACTCGATATTTTGAATAGTTCTTTTAGCTTTATAAATTAAATTAAAATGCTAATATTTAATAATTTGTAGGTAGACGTAGCCAAAAGTAAAAACTCTTGTTTCTTTGACTTGTTTTGTCAAAAAAAAAAATTGAATGTTTTCTGCAGAACAATGAAAATCATTAAGCAGCTTCGCAATTATATTTCCAAAGGTCATAAGTGAGTGCTTCTTGACTATCCAGAACGAGAGATCGTTTTTTAAAGATTTTAAAAGCAAAGTAAGTTCAGCACAGATGAATTGTTCACCCGCATTCTAAAACATGCAACAAAAAGAACAGACCCCTAGTTTGCAGGATTTTTAAAGGAGGCAGATACCTACAAACTCTGAGGAAATTACTCTAGAACTGTCGGAAAATATTGCATTGGTCATAACTCTGTCTCTTAAGGGAATAATAACTTTCGTCAAAGAGGGACTTGTTAGATGTCAATTTTAGACTGTTTTATGGGGCTAATGAAGTATATAAAAGACGATAGCATGGTTGAAAGACGAGAGGCAATTGATTCAACCTACGAATCAGACCAATAATTATTTTTAGCGCTATTATAACCCTCTATATTTTCTACTTACCTACATACTTGGAACAATATCATTTTTATGAACGAGAAATTTAAGTTTCTGAAAATTACTAATTGGGGTAGATACTTATTATGTCATTGTAGAGTATTGTCGATGCATTAAATATTTCTCTATGATCAGTGCATAAGCTTGTTTCTGAATGCATCAAAACCGATCATGAACATAAAGTTCAGATCAGTGATATAGCAACACTTGGAACACCCCTTTATAAAGCACAGAAGCATAGCATTCTGACACGAATTTATGCTATGTACGCAGCAGGTATGAAAAAAAAAACGAAACTTTCCCTTTTTCCAAAGGAATAATAGAATTTGTCATATTGCTTCTTTGTGTGTAAAGTCGAAAATCTATTTTTTTTGTCGTTCTTGGATTGAAAAAAACCATTCATTTTAATAATTACTTTTCCTCCCTTATATAAGAACATGGCACAGTAGAATCACTAAAAATGGTTTGCGGAATTTGCCATTCTTATTTCTAAATTGGGATGCAAATCGGAGACCTAACAAGATTTTTGAAATTTTGAATGGTGACTTATATTTCTTTTTTCTGGAAAAAGTAAACTTTTTCTAACCTGTGAACAGAGATAAAAGTTTTAGTTTTCTACCCACGTAAACTCTCCCTTACTCAATACTAATATGCTTTGGGAAAAAATAACTTATGTAATTTTTTTTTACTTGCCTAATCTTAGTGAACCTTCATTAATAATAACGGAGAGCGCCTCGTATAACCTTGAACATGCTAAGCCAATACCTAATCAGGTTATCAAGTAAACAGTATTATAATCCCAAAATAGATTCCATCAGTCCAGTAAAATCTGATGCTGTACTTCGTTTATGGACTAAAGCTCAACTAAAATAATAATAATAATACTTCTGAAGAAGTATTATTATTTGTTTCAGGTTTCACCCGAAAAATGGGTTGTAGGTACACAGATCGCTTGATAAGTGATACTTGGAAAAGCCAAAAATTGTATCGACGCATCTAATATTATCCCAATTGTTATTGATATGCATGAATCAGATAACTAGTTTTTTTTTTGTTCCCCTTCTTTGCCCTATGGGTTTTTTCTTTTGTTGAATCGTTGGGAGTTTTTCAAAGAGCTATCGAAATTTACAGCTAATGCTGTAAACTCTTGGCATCTCAAATGGACCAAAGATGTTGAGAGATTTTTGGATAAATGGTAAATCTGGTTTTGACGTTATACTTCTTTAGAACTTTTGATATGTTTTGAATGTAAGGACCACAGTGGCAAATGTAGGTTGTGGAGAAGTGTATTTTTTGATGGAACGCTTAATATCTTTAATGTTTTAATTTTGTTTTCAGTGACCCGGGCTGAGATAGTTTTACGGCTCTGTAAATGTTACGTCTGATTTTCTATTGATAAGAATTCATAAGATATTATTAGTTTCCAACTCAATGGTAAAACGTATCTTAGAGTGTATAGAGTTTAAATGTCTAAGAAAATCTACTAGGGTTTCTTGACCATGAGGCCAAATAACAAAAGTATCATCGACGTAGCGTTTCCATAATTTGGTTTCAGATGAAAGGTGTCCAGAGCTTTCTTCTCAAAGGCTTCCATAAATATATTCGCGATGACTGGTGATAGTGGAGAACCCATAGCTGTTCCCGACGTTTGTTCAAAAATTTGTTCATTAGAAGAAAAATATGCTCCAGACAAGCATTTTTCGATTAAGGTGGGAAGGTTTGGTTCCAGATTCTCGGATTTAAATATATCTGAAATGATATTGAGAGTTTCAGGAATAGGAACTTTGGTAAAAAGTGATTCTACGTCAAAACTAACTAGAATATGTTGTGTATCGAATGTAATGCTCTTTAATTATTCAATGAAGTGAAAGAAATTAAGTACGAGTGCAGAGTAACATGTGACCCAGTTTTAGTCAAGCTCTGAAGAAGCCAACAGGATGATTGGCGAAACGTCAGCAATTTCGACTAAGCAAAAACCGACGCAGGAGAAATCCAGAAGTTTTGTAAAAAGTATTATAGTGGCCTGTGGATTTTCTTTGAAAAATTTTAATTTACTTTTTAGGATTGCATATTCGAACGTACCTACTATAGCTTCACACTATACTATACGCGACCTAACTGCACAAATGCCCTGGCTGGACTTTACCACGCTTTTTTATGCGGTGAGCTGCATATTCGCCTCTAGCTGTACTAAGATTTTTAGTTATATATAAGTTATATTTTTTGTCTATTAAAATATACACGATAAAAATAAAAAATAAATTAAATAGGACTAACCCAAGCTTCTTTCCGTTATTCCCACGTGGGCGCAGTTCTCGTTTCATCCGTCACTATCTTTCTTACTAGTTTTCTCTACGCTATTACCTAACCTGATCCCAGTTCCGTTTGTAAAACCCGGTACATTGGGATTCGAATTCCTCCACAGATAAACACTTCGTCTCAACCAACATGGGAACGAGTGTCGCGTAAATACCCCACGATTTAGTAGGGCTGGGCGATCGCGACATTAAGTGGACGTTTCGAGCAGAAAACAACGTCTTAAAAGTGCTCTCGAAGGTCGGCGGCGTCTGCCATATTTCCACGAACAATTTCATGACGCTATCGTCGACCGTTTCCGATCGTTTGGCAGCTAGAAGTGATGAAAATTCGTTAACGTCTTCGTCGATTTGGTGCCGAGGATGTTTACCTAGGATTAAGAACAAATCGAAAAGATTGGAGTGGATATTCGACAAGACGATGTCATTGACGTCATTCCTCTGCTTCATGCCCCTCAACGTGTTTCTCAAAAGGTCCGACACGCAATTCGGAGCAAATGTTTTATCTTCTTCTATGACGTGGCAGCACATTTCCTAAGAAAACAGTTTTTATACTAGAAAGGTGATAACAAAAAAGGTGGGTATATAAAAGACACAAATAGTTCAAAATAAAAATTAATGGACCTGGAAGATATCCCACTAAAAAAAAGTGGACACTTCAGCTCGCACACGCAGTAGATACGATGATGCGCAGTTGGCTGAGCTTCTGCGGTGTCGACTGTCACCCGTTAAGTAGAATAATAAATGCGAAATGTAAACAGCATTTTCATTTGTCCTTTTTATGGCGAATTAGGCCAGTAGATCCAATTTGTGCTGTTAAACGGATTGTAATTATTTAGTATATCGTGGTTTTTACATTGGTTTTGCTAGGCGTGTTTCGTATTGGTAATCATGCCGTGTGCTGTAGGCGGGTGCAATTCGGACAAGCAATCAAAGAAAGACCCTCTGAATAAAAACATTAAGTTTCATCGGTTTCCAATCAAAAACTCTAGTGTATGTAAGGAGTAGTTACACGCAACAAAGCGAGCCGACAAGACCGCTGTTGTGTGTTCTAAGCATTTTCTGGAAAGTGATTATAAAGTGAACTTGAAATATCAATTTGTCCATTTGTCAAAGAAAATGGGGTTTTAAGTTCATATCTGCAGGTATAATATAGATTTTGGTAATGCAATTGACGAAAAAGCAAAACCTACAACGAAATAAAGTTTTAAGCTGATATCTGTAGGTTTGTTGTTGCTTTCACAATAATATGGGGTGGAAAAGCCGTTTCTGACTGGAAACTGCTAAAGCAAAGAAGAGAAACGAATAATTTATCCTAGAAAGAGGGGGTTTAAGTTCATATATGCATTTGCACGTCAAATGCTTGCCGATTTCGAATAGATTGTAGTCAAAATTTGCTTTGTCACCACTATACAATAAGCCTACAGATTTGAACTTGAAACCCCTCTTTCTGGAGCAAATTGTTGGTTTTTCTTCTTGATTTTGAGCAAATTCCAGTCAAAACCATGAACAGTATTTGTTGAAATGAATGGCCACTGGAAACAATTTTATTAAAACTTTATTGTTAAAAAGTGAGTCAATACTAGGTCCCGACAAGGCAAAACGCCTTTCTTTCAGGTCTAGGATGTTTTTTAGAATGAAAGAACTTAATTAAAGTATGGGTGAAGCTAATACTAGTAAAAGAAAATGGACTAAAATTTTGGCTTAATTTTTAATGTTTAGTATTTTAGTCTTAGGTATTTCATGTAATAAAACGGTTAAAATTTTAGGGTTGGCAAACATCGGGATTTTTGTATGGTTCGGGTGGGTTTTTAGATATTCCCTGTGTGTTTTTCTTGAGTAACATCATTTTTTTTAACAATAAACAAATAAATTATATGCCTTAAAAAAACGTAACTCCTTTAATGACCATGAGCCGAAGACTTCAAACTGTGATTGATGCGGATAGAGATGACACCAAATATATTATTTTTCTTCGTGTTTCTTCTTTTCCGGTTTATGTTCAAATGTTGGGCCACAGAACAACCAACGATAAACAAAAAAATTAAACAAAATACTGTAATACTTATATAATATAAGCACAATATACATTTCTTGCAAGATATCTCTAGAAATTAATCAAAGAGGATGTACCTTATTGTTTACAATAATTTCGTGTTCAAACATACAGTAAAGGCCTAGTAAAAGTACTTAAAATGAACACATTGTTTGGAATATAATATTGCTATTGTTGTGACACGGTTACAAACACAAACACACCAAAATTGCAGTTTTTTTAGACCTCAAAAACCCTTTGTATTCGGTTCATGCAGTTAAGTTTAAAACTGAAATAGAAAAACCAAAGGGATGGGAATGCATATGGGATGCATATTTTGAAATGATTGCCATTTTTTTTTTTTGGATTTGAGATGGAATTTTTCATGAAACCTGAAAGGTGTAGTTTTATATAACCACAATTTTGCTATTATGTACAATTTCCTGCATAAATCAAATAAATGTAGCTGGATGACATTTGGCGAACACAGTTAAAATTTCCCTAACCATTAAATACGTAAAACTGCAGGATTACCTCAATAGTTTGCGTTAGTTACCTATGACGTTTACATATTGATAAAAAACACTTATGAACAGTGCATTAGTTGCATTCCCATTGCGTAGCAGGTCATTGGTACTTGGGATAAACTGAAAAGAAGGCTTGAAGAAGATGAAACCAATATAATCCATAAAATTATTTGTAAAATAAGATTTAAATACCGCAATATAGACAAAAAAAAAGAAAAGTGTAGTGTAATCGTATAATTTGTGCACTTGGAGATTTAATTACACTAAGGAACTTCTAAAGTATAGATCCGATGGATAATTTACCCACGATACACACTATACCGTATTCATAGGATAAATTGATTCCAGTAAAAATTATAAAAACAAAAGTACGCTTAAATAAAGGAATACGCATCACCATAATTCTCGCTGGATCAGAAGTGGTATTTATTTCAAACTTGTCTCGAAGAATATTAAGGACTCTTGGACTTTGATGATGGTACAAATGCCGAACTTTTTGAAAAGTGATTTCAAAATTATCTTTTAAAAAATATTCACACAAGACACGCTGTTTTATATCTTACTCCATGTCATTGTATATTTTTGAAATCTGTTACCCCTCACGACTCTCAAATTCAAGGTTTCTATAGACTTTCTAACATTCGCAAGTCAAGATTACTAATTCGATCTATTGTTAGCAAAATATCTAGTTTCTACATTAAAACCCTTTACAGGGAAAGCTGATAACTTCGGGCTGAATTTTTTCCAATTCGTTTAACAATTGAAAACAATTACATTCTGCTATTCTGGTTAATTTCGACATCTTCACTAAAGTCCCTATTTCTTAAACCGCTCAACATCTGGAAATTTCTCGTCTTTCTTCTCAAGATTTTGAGAAAAAAACTATGGAAACGTTACGTTGATGACATTATTTGACCTCATAGTCAAGAATTCCTCTCAGAATTTCTTCAACATACGTTTTACCATTGAATTAGAAGCTAATAACCATCACCCATTGAGAGACAGGACGAAAAATATCAACCATATAAGAACGTGAAAGAGCCTTAGGACTACGACAAATAAACTCATAAGCTCAAAATTCTTGCACGCATCAATCTATCAAAGAAAAATCCGATAATTCATAGAATTCTCTCACCAATATGGGAATCAGTCATCCGAGATGATGTGCACGTCCCTCCCTTAGCTCCGCCCCCTCAAAGCAGAAGAATGGGAGCCAGTTTTAATTAAGCTCTAAACTAACCCAACGAGAATAGTCAGCAGTGCGGTATCAAGTAAAATCACACGAAAGAGCAAAAAATAATACTTTCCCTTTTAGATCCCAACGAAATAAGTTTAATTAAAAATTAATAATACACCTGCTGAAAGCTGGAAAAGTGCACCACAGAATATAATTGAAGATAGTGAATTGTATTTACTCTTCATGACGACTCGGAGAATTAAACTGGATTAGATTTTGAAGAAAAACGTCATAGCACTTTCTAGTATATTATATCTAAATCAACATAATATAATAGTTAATCTTTATTATGTCTCTAATGCTCTGTCCTAAAATACCGCTAGGTGTTTTAGCGTCGTTTATTTCGATAATTGCCGAGAAAAGTCAAGATGACATATGCACTTACCCTAATATCGTCCAAAATGTAAAATCCGCTCTTAGCGTCTTCGTCGTGGTTCTGCGGTCGTCCGCCAGGCGGCAGCTGAAAAACCAGCTTGGACTTGTCGTTTCTCCTCCAATTCCCTAACCGCTGCAGTTCGCCATCAAAGTCTTTCAAGAAGAGCCCCACAGTTACGTGACTGTTAACCCACTGTCTCACCCTATCCGCGTACATTCTGGACGCCACATCGACGCAGAATTTTTTGGTACCCGGAAGTACGTCCAGAACCAACAGACCGTCCATCGAAGGTGGTATCTTCTCGCGAGAGATACGCGAAGCGATCTCCTCGCACGATGTTATTAAACAGTTAAGGTGATCCCTGGCGAGGGATCTCGATTTGGACGTCAAAAACTCCTAAAAAATCCATAACTTGAAAGCATCACCTCGACTGAACCTAACAAACGGCCCGGACACTCTACCGATGGAAAACGGATTAGCTCCGCCTTTAAGGGAAGAACATATCAGCGCAGCATCAGGAGTTTCGATATTAGATTAACAAAGAGCGATATAATTCAAAGAGATTTTTTTGCTTTCCTAAACACTTTTGAGACACACTACCAATGATCTCGTAGTGATGTTGGTTTAAGCTACCTACGGATGAACCAACTCGATCTTTTATTAAAAAATATAGCTGCATATCTATAAAAACATATCCTGGTGCTTGGTTCTGATCACTGTTCTCTGATTGGTGTATTGAAACAAAAAACCAAAAATGAAGAAAGTCAACAGTAAGAAAATTTAATTTTATGATTTCAGCTGACTCGCAATACCCACAACAGTGCTGTGGCAGTGACACTGCTAACCACTAGCATTCAGGCGAACAAGAGTCAATTACAGGGGAACGGCCGAAAATCCGAGTTGAAGAAGTAAGAACCGCCATTGTTCAAATGAAGCCAGCTGATCCAGACAAATCAGAGTCGGCATTCCAGAGGATTGCTCGAAGTCAACGTGAGGGGACTTCAGAAAATTAAATTAAAATTGAATTAAATTCTTTTAAACCTATATTGGAACCATACAGCAGTTCTAAGAAATCATGGCAGCGACACAGATCAGATTCAGTTTAATGGGATGGTATTGAAGAAGGAATTATCATACACGGCAACGAGCTAAACAAAATAAGATACGCACACGATACCATCATGTTTGTATAGAGCCTCGAAGTTTACATCAACTGATGAACTTAAACAAAACTAAAAAACTGATAGTAAGTAGTAAGTAAGCCTTTTTAGTTCTCCTGTATGGGGTGGAACCACTCACCAAAAAAAATAAATAAATAAAAGATTGAAAGCATTTGAACTCTGACTATATAGAGGAATATTAAAAATATCTTGGACACAGAACGTTACTAACCAAGAAGTGGTACGAATAATTAATAATGAGTCAGAATTGAGAGAGGGCAATAAAATGCCGCATTTTCTAGTAGTTCAACTCTTTCCAATTGCCACCGATAAAATAAGAATGGTCATGATCATAGCTAACATCCGAAACGGCACTTAGAAAATAAGAAACATTTTTGAAAATTTGAAAAAGAATACATAATTTAGGACAACTGTGTATGGGTAAACCAAAACTAAATTAAAAAATATACATACAGTGTATCCCACTATTTAAGAACTGTACATCTTTCTCAAATCTTTGTTTATTGTTCAATTTTGATAAGTTTTTTTTGTTGGATAGAGCTCTGAAAAAAGCACTAAAGCCTTGTTTTGCTTATTACTTCAACTTAAAGTCACGACCAACTGGGACTATTTAATAAAATAGAGAGAAGGAAGAAAGAAGTACTATCAGGGGTTAAAAAAAAATGGCAACAAATTCTTATTCAGGAGTACTTAGAAGCTAACTATACCAATAATGTTTCAAACGTGCTGTTTGCTTGCTTAAAGCTGTACATCGTTGTGAAATCTTTGATTACGTTTTGATTTTGATAAAAAAAAATTGTTGGATAGATCCGTCAAAAACGCACTGTCAACCTGATTTCCCTGTTTCTTTGTAAGAAATAATAAAAATTTTGTATACTGACATGGGGCTTTTCTGAAAAAATTTAAAAAAGGATATTTGTCTTTCTATTCCTTGCAAAATTATCTGGAATCCACATGTATTATTTTCGTTTTAATAGAAATGTAATAAAATTACATGGGACATTTCAGCCAAAATTAATACCGCATTGTTTTTAAAGCATAACATATAAATTCGTTTAAAAAGAAACTGCGCTAGATACATGTTCGGTTTTGTTCTCTGTTCATGGCCAAACTAACTGAATTCTATCCCATAGTGCGGTGGGAGAGAAACCGATAGTGTCGAGTGTCCGAGCTCTCCGTTAGATTTGACCGTGAGATCGTTACAGAGGCGACTCCACTCACCTTCGTCGAATGTTTATCCATCGCTTCCTGTTTATAGGTTTGCTCGATCTCCGACCGAAATTCGTCTAACGCAGTCTGCTTATATTCGGGCACCAAAGTGTAACAAATGTATTTCACAGCGCAAGAGGCAACCCGCTCGCTCACAAACTCCACAGTCTTTCTCAACGAAGCGGGTTGGCCGTTAAAAAACGCTTCTTCCAATTGTTGCTGCGAGATCGAAAACTATTTTAATACCCACCTAATAATAATACTAATAATCACAATAATGTTTACTTGCACTTTCTCTTAGAGACAGATAATTACATAGCGGGATTAATAGAAAACAGCACTGTTTTAGTGGTCTGTGGTGTTGCTGCCTCTCTGCGACGCGTAAAATGCCAGATAGTTTTTCTTTTTCATTATAACAAGTTTTCTTTTAAGTTTTGCCTAATTAGTAGTAGGAGGTGCGTTTAACTGTTCGAGTGTGTGGTGTAATAAAGTTATGCAACATGGACAGCGTTATATTTCGATTGGCTGACAACGAAACAAGTAAAACAAACATTGTCGTATTAAAACCCCACCATGTTTTCAAGTTAAAAAGTCTATGAGCCAGTTGAGAAACTATTGATCGATTGAACACTATTGAGAGCAATGAAATTGTATGATGGCGACCAACATACTTGAGAAGCATAAATCAGTGATCAAGGTAATATAGTAACAACAATATGGCTAGGTTTCCATCAAAGGAAGAAGACTAATAATCGTCCATATGCAAAGCAAAGAGGGATTTTTAAAAGCTTTGTTTACCTTTGAGAGATGACTACGAGGACACGAATTTGGATTTTTTGAAGACCATTTCATAAGAGAGAAGAGAGAAAACCTTGTAACCGTCCCCAAAAACTTGAAATCGGTTTCCATGAAGTGGATTTAGTGTTCTTAGTGTTTAGTGAATATTTTAAAGTGTGTAGTCGTTGTCGGTCCCGCTGTTTTTTCCCGTTGTTTCCGGTTCCCCATGGAGGGTGATGAATCCGTCCAGTCCCTTTTAATTAAGGCACCCTCCATGTTATAAAAAAAATGTTAAACTGTAGTTGTAACTGGCCGGATGGTTTTAGCAGTCATGGCCAATAGAAGTAAATAAGAAGAGGAACCCTAAAAAGTACGGTGGAGATTAATATTTTATTGGGAAAGGCTTGCGAAACAAGTTTGTAGGTGAGGAGGAATATGTTGTCTTCTAATTTGCTAGTCAGGTCCCTTAGAATCAGAAATAATCCTAGTTTCTTAGCTATCCAAAGACTATATATTGCTTATCAAGAAAATTATAACTTTTTTAGAAGAAAGGCCCCTAGTCGAGGCATTTCACTACACCGATACATACCATAACATTATTGATAGTGGAGACGTTTTAGCCTCTCAGATTACACCTATTTATTTTGTTGATTCTAAACTAAACTTGCAAGGGGGGTGGGGGGAGTAAATGAAATTGAGTTTCGGGAATTTTGTGGCAAAACATGGACTGGGGAAGTGACTTCTATATTTACCGATGCTTCTAAGGGGCAGGACGAGAGAGTTGACTTTGGAGTATTGGTACCTTCACTGAATGTTAGGGTCGGGCATGGGTTGAACAGCGCTTTTTGCATTTTCTCTTCAGAAATGGTAGCTATCAGTTGTGCTCTACATCTGATCTTAGATTATAATATTAAACTGACAGTAATTGTCTATGATTCGAAAAGAGCCCTGCAAAGCTTTGGTTGTAGTGTGGTTGACATTTCAAATAGTTGCTAGAGCTAGATATTAAAGCAAAGATTGCTATTTTCAAGTGAATAATTCAGTGCAAAACATGTTATATTGGATTCCAAGTCATTCGGGAATAATGCATAATGAGAGTGTGGATAGATTAGCCTCAGAAGTCAGACTTTTAGATCCGTGGAATTTAAGACCACATTTCAGTGAATTTATCCCGAGAATTAGAGCGAAGATATGGCATATCTCAAGCAGCAAATTGAAAGATTGGGGCCGTTCAAAGGGTAAAATTTATAGTGCAGCTTACAAGAGCAGTCCAACAGTCCCATTGTTTCATAAATTGCACCTCTCCAGAAAGGACATTATAATAGTATGCAGGATGAGAAGTAACCATTGTAGCTCCCCAGCACATCTTTATAACAAAAACGTAAAACCATCCAATTTGTGTGCTTGTGGAGAGGTGGGGGATATTCAACATATTTTGTTTCCTAGATGAAAATCAGCAATGGGCGAATGATAACAGTAGTCGTGCCCAACAGAATTAATGAAACGCATTGTTGAATTGAATTGAAGTACGGTGGAAGATATAGCAGACAAACATAGTGTAACTGTGCTCCAATATGTTATATTGAGGTAGTTTTAGAAACTAGTCATTCGGGCCGGTTTGCAAAAATAATAAGAAGTCGGGATTGACATTGCGATTTTGTCTAGTCATGTAGATGTTTGAAATATTATTATATTATTTAAGAGCGTTGGGGTAATAGTAAACTGGATGAAAGATTTTGACTTAGAAGTCATTGGCCATTTTCTTTTCTAGGACTTTCCCCATTGGGACTTCCCAATCTGGTTATTAATAATGAGAATGTCTCTTGGAAAATGAAGTCACTCGCTTCGGTATTATTTTTGAATGTGGGGACCTCAAGTAGGTAACATGGTTCTTAAGGCTCAGAGTGGAATCAATATAATGAACTTTTTGTCTAAGACGTAGTGGGAAGTTTAACCTCTATCTTTGCTGATCTTTTATGAGGTATTTGTGCGCCCTCATCTCCACTATGGTTCCATAATGTTGCGGGGTTGCTCCAAAAAGATTATTATGAAAACTATAATTTCTACAGGAGCAAATCGAAATTGCATTTTATTGAAGCTGATGAATTGGTGATCTCGTTTCAACAATTAGTATACAGTGGTTTTGTTTCTCCTTGTTTTGAAGCAGATTTAGTTCCCCAGTTTAAAACAATTGATTTTGTGGATTCCAAGTTGGACAAGGGCGGCTCAAATGAAGTACAATTTCATGAATTTTGTAATAAAAGTAATGAGTACACATTTATATATACTGATGCTTCTAAGGGAAGTGACACTGTCGGATTTGAAGTGTTTGTCCCACTTTGAACGGCTGATGCATTCAAAAGTAATATCTATGTAGAAGTCAAAGCAAAAAATATTGTTTTTTAAGTTGGGGTTACCGAATATCATTGTGCTGGGTCCCTAGACACTCCGGAATCATACATAATGAGACAGTGGATAGTTTAATTGCTGGTGCAAGGTCCATGCCTTGAATTTGAGCCCATCCTTCTCAGAATTAATTCCCAGAGTGAGAAAGAAGGTCAGGGAAATTTGGCATTTTAAATAGAGACATTGGGGTCAATGTACTATGAAACTTTGTCAGGAATTTCACCATTTCAGTTTTCGTTTCATAAGCTGTATTTATATGGCACCTTATCATCTTCGTAGAATAAATGTCAAACTCTCAGCCCTCTGTGCTTGTGTTGATACAGGCGATCTTCAGAATATTTTCTTTAACTGTTCTTTGTAGCGGTATAATTCGCGAATTTTGTATGAGCCCTTGATTGATGGTAATATTCCAGGTCCACTTAGTATTCACTCTATTTTGTTTCACCCGTCTCGCATGGAGTTTATTGCTCCTCTAATAGATGCCTGCAGAATATGATAAACCTTTAGTTGTCCTGGGCGATTGATCCAAGCAGTCGTGCCCTAGCTGATGTGAAACGTACAGAAGGAGAAGAATTAACAATAAGTATTATAGAAATTATATGGGCTCAAATGAAAGGATTTGTTGCAAATTTTTAACACGACATTCAAAATGAAAAACTCCAAGTTACTGTTGATCAGGCCAATGAGGAAGTGGCAGCAGAAAACTGACAAAAAGCAGCCCACCATGTTGTTATTATTATTGAAAGAATGGAAAAAACCCATAAATCGACTGAAAGTCCGGTGGTCAAAAGAATCTTGCAATGAAATCAATGGCAAACAATGAAAGTAGCTTAAGTATCTTTTGGCCGCTGTGTAGTACTTACGCATATCTGAGGTTTTATTATTTTAACACTTTTCGAAATAACTATTTCATAAATTCGGTTGTCGAATTTTGTTGACAACTTTACCGGAAAAAACATTTAAAGTATTCTGTACGCAGATTATTGTTATTAGGTGTATACGTGTACCGTATGAGATGTGGAACATTTTAAATAATGAATGAATAAGCATAAACTGATTGTGCGTTATGAATGACACGTTAGGATTTGAAACTTTGAATATTCATTACGAATAGTTTGATGGTGCAACTTCCACCAACAAAAGGATTATGTTTAAGATAAATTTACTTATGTATTCTGCATCGTGCACTGTTAGAAAAAGAACCGTAAGTATTTTAAAAGCTCTATACAATTAATGGCGCTTTTTTGAAAACTTGAAATTGGAAAATGATTTTTTAAAAGTGTTTCCCAAACCTGTGCGGTAAAATCCCGGAAATGTCCGAATTGGCTCGGATTCGTGGGAAACGAAACTGACGTAGTAAAGCGACGCTTTCCGCACCCTAGACCATTTCGTAATTAGGTATTTCACAGACAGGAGTAGAAACAAAAATAGTTCATTTCTCTCAGGTGGCGCTTTCCATATATTGATTTCGAAACTTAGTAAATTTTTTGACGTTTAATTTTTCACAGAACGTAAAGACGGCGCTAGTGATGCACTTTATGCACTTGGTTACTATATTTTCCTTCATAGGACCATTTAATTTTTTTTCGAGCAAACGGATTGTTCTAGACATACTTGTAAGTCAGGCTTAGACAAATTATAAGAATAACTATAAAATTATTTTAAATATTCTATCCGTTTCAGAATTTCCTTTTCCAAAATTTGTTACCATTACAAATTACTATAAACTTATTCGATTCAAGATTTGTAATATTATTTGACGGTTAATTCAAAAGTTATTGTTACTATATCCATGCGTGCGTGACACATTTAAATATTGAAAATCTATTACGAATGTTATTTTGGTGCCTAAGAGGGAAAGTATTTTAACACTTCAAATGGGGCTGTTTCTGATAGATTTTTAAACTTGGAATTGGAGGTTATTAGGCGTTTAAGTTTTCACAGAACATACACATGGCGCTAATTATATCTCTCTTGACGGTTAATTTTAATACTACGTTTAAGGTGCGGGACATTTTTTAACATTGAAGACTTATTATGAATAGTTTTATGGTGCCTAAGAAGGAAGATAAACTTTGTTATATATTGCATACGCTTATTGCAAAAGGCTTGAAAGATGCTTTCAATATATTGATTCGGAAACTTGGAATCGGAAGTTTTTGAGCGTGCACCATTTAATTATTTTTTATTCAAAATTAAAAGCACTGATTTTTAAGAAGTGCTTCGATCAAACGAATTGTAAAAATATTTGTAAGTCAGTTAGACAAATTATAATTTATACCCATCATAACAATCAAGACAGTTAGACTTAAAACTGCATTCAAAGCTATAAACCACTATAAAATTATTTTATATATTCTAATTGCGTTTTCCAAACTTTGCCAGCATTTTCCTTGAAAAAAAAAAACATTTCAAACTATTTTAAGCACAAATTGCTATATACCTGTCAAGTTTAATTTTTTGAATATTATTTGACGGTTAATTTAAATTTTATTGTTACTATATGCATATGTGGTGTTACTACGTATGAGGTGCGGGACATTTTTAAATATTAATGAATTAGAGAATGTGCATTATGAATTTTGATTATTTATGAATATTTCTATGGCGTCCAATAAGGATTGTAAGATAAAATTTGTCATAAATTGTGCTGGCAAAAAAACGGAACGTAAAATATATATTCTCAAAAATTTCGAGCGTTTAATTTTTCACAGAACGTGCAGATGGCGCTAATTACGGACTGTATATCTCTTCGTCGGGATAACTTTCATCTTGGCACCATTTCAATTTGTTTTATTAAAAATTAAGTTAACTTTAAAAAGTGTTTCGTTGAAAAGGATTGTTTTCTGGATATTTGTAAGCCGAGCTTACCTCGAGTTTTTTCCTAACCGCGTCACCACTGGTTTCCACCTCCGACACGGGGGTTATGTGCTTCACCGACACCTTATTCCCCGAAGAGTCAGCACATAGCAACTTTTTGATTTCGTCCAAATACGGGCAGCACAAATACAACACGTTCTGACCAACTATCTCCAGGTCGTCTAAATACGAATCGGCTTCGGAGAATTGCTCGGTCGGGCATTGCACACCTTCGAAATGAATGCTAAAATATTCACCATCAGGAAAATGGGGTAGTTCGAATAGCCAGCCTAGGCAAAAGACGAGCAGCGGAGCCCTAGCGTTCCGGTACAATTGGACTAGAATCTCGTTGACGGAGACGTAGTAGGGCAACCGTAGGGTGACGTAGTCGAGCATGGCCAAGTACTTCACCAGCCACGGTATTGTTAAGATGGTGGTTTTCGATCGTATTGACGCGTTTAGTAGAGATTTCACGTCTAGAGGCGGACAAACCTAAAAAGAACACTCTAAAGTTGCATATTTTAAAATTAAAATACCTCAATCAATTTTCTAATTTTTATTGTTGATAATGATAATGGCCTAGTTTTGAATGAGACTAAAACAGCGTCAGTTGTTTTCTCTTATAGTGTTTCTATTCAGCAGAGTAAAATAGTACAATTCTTGGGCATAAACTCAGATTATAACCCATCTTGGGAGAGTCATATCAAATCAGTTACTAAGAAAATGAATAAGTACTCTTTTATGTTATGAAAACTCCCTGCACATGTTAACTCCACATCATCATATGGTATTGTCACATAGGGTAACAGTGTGCACATTGGGGAGGTAACGATAAAAACAATAACATTTAAAAAGAGTACATTTTCCTGTAGAGACCTCTTCAAGGAGCTATAGATTCTTATTGTGATTTTATTATATGGTATGCATTATGCCATTTATGTAAGAAAAAATTCACAGAACTTTTTAACATTTACTAACTTGCGAATTCCACAGCATGGGTTGTCTCGTACCATGAAAAACAGCTATGTAATGCCTATTAAAATTTATAATCAAAGCAAATTTAAAAACTCGCAAAAAAATTATTGATAAGTGAAACAATTTACTCGTCGGAGGAGTCCTTTCAGAACAACTGGGAGAATAAACGAATGATTGCTGAGGTTATGTATAAATAAAGGAAATTTTATATAATGCGTTTTTTTCTATATTGTATTTATTTGTAGGCCTTTTGACGAAATTTTTGCAACTTAGCACAACTAGTTTTTTAAGGAAGTGATAATAGCTTTAGTTATTTGAATATAAAATTAATAAAATAAATAAAATGATGTCCGCCAACGGCGAACGTTGTGATTGCAGTGAACAAATTTAAGTAATAAAAAAAAACACTTTCACTCAAATCGCATACTCGTATTACGTCCCTTGTTTATTGCACGAACAGGATCCTACAAATTAATTAATGTTTTAAAAGGTATTCACGCTAACACAGCGCGGCTTACGTTAAAATCTGCGTCTAAAAATCTATTAGCACGATTTACTGCCAGGGTGACCTTGCTTTAAGATATATTAGTCAGTACAAATGAAATATACTGTTTTTGGTTCCACCCTCCATAAAGTGCCTTTCTAACGTCCGCCTATGTCGAATTTTGATAAATACCAACATTTGTATAAGTAATAGCGATTTGAACTATATTTTTTCTGTGAATTTCGAAATTGGTGTTTCGAGAAGTGGGCAACAAAATTTTAGACGCTTTTTCTTTATAACCGGCACACCCTGTATAGGGTACAACGAAAGAGCTCATTATCTCCTTGCTTTCAAAAGTTATGAGAAAATAGTAAATACAAAAGTTTCCAAGATTGTTAGGGTGCAAAATTGAAAATTATTTTAAAGCATAAAGGGTGGCTCAAAAAACCGTGGCGAATAAAATATACATTTTTTGAAATGGAAAACCCTATTTTCAAATTTTGAATAACTTTAAAAACATTTTAACGTTTTTTTGTCAATAATAATACATACCTAAAGCTAAAAATTTTTCAAATAATTTAAATTTTCTAAAAATAATACTAGTCTATCACATTTGCAAAAAAATTACGATAGCGCTATTATTTTCATAGGTAGATCCCTATTTGATATTAGCGGTAATCGAAGATGACTTAAAATATATTTGCAACGGAATTTTAATTGGATGCTACAGGGTCTTCAAAATAAAAGAATATATTTGGATCAATTTAAATTAAAAAAACTCGATTTTATTAAATGTCATATTTTGTTAGATTGAGATTTATTTTAACTTTTACAATATTTACCCTTCTTTCTCTCTAAGCCTGACAATTTTCCTAACGCTGAATTCATTGATATGATTTATATACTGAGCGAGGCGGAAAAAATACTTGGTCGGCAGTAAGACCTTACAAGGCGAAGAACCCTATGAGAGGTAGATAATATAGCAAATGAATTAAATAAAATAATATACAGTTTTAGAGTATTAGGTAGGGGGAACTAAAAAATTGCTCTATCACAGGGTCTCATGTAATATATTGTCTTGTTTTGTATGAAAATTGCACAGAATAGAAAGAATTTTTATTTGCTTGCAAACTGTACTGCAGCTAAATGTTCGAGAGTAATTTAGGGGAAAATTTAAAGAAAACACAATTTTAGACTTAGCTGCAATCCTTATACAAGGGAGTATACTGTTCGTCTTTAAAAACAGCAACCTGTTTGAAAACAGTGAGTCTCAGAAACTTTGTAGTACAAGAACCATGAATTACACATAACCCAGGCGTAGACTGAGAATGAGTATAAGAATGATAAGCGTGCGTATTATCAGTGTATTAGGTTTTATGACCGTTTGCCGAACAACGTAAAAACAATTTGAAATTTGAAAATGTTAAACAGAACAATTTGTTATACTTTTTACCAAACATCTGGATTCCTCCATTTTCGGTTTTTGCTGAGTCGAACTTGGTGACATTTCGTTAATCATCCTGTTGGCTTCTTTAGAGTTTGACTGAAACTGGCTCACATTTTACTCTGTACCTGCTTATATTGAGGAGCGCGGAGCTAAATGAGGGGCATAAACACCATCTCGGGTGGTTCATTCCCATATTGGTGACAGATAAAGACCTGAGGCCTGATATTGTTAGGTTGTTCATAGATTTCTATAGACTCTCGAATTTTTCGTTGGTAGAAGAATTGATTACATGCAAGAATGTTAGTTTTATCGAATAAAATTTTATGTCCGGTTTCGTGATTGTGTTCGGCAACTGCCGATGAGTATATTTGTCTTAGTCTTAAGGCTCTTTCATGTTCTTTGAACCTAGTTGATATTTTTCGTCCAGTCCCTCCAATTTATTCTTTGCCGCATATGCATGGAAACTCTTGGCATCTCAAATGGAATTTTGTCTTTGACGGATCGAAGATGTTGATGATGTTTTGAATGTAAGGAAGGAGCACAGTGGCAAGTGTAGGATTGTGGGGATTGTTTGTTTGAAAGGTTGTAGTGAAGTGTATTTTGTGATGGAAAGCTTAATACCTTTATGTGAAAATTATTAGGCAGAAGAGCAGAGGTAAGGTGTTTTAATTCTGGGTTCAGTGACTCGGGCTGAGATAGTTTTACGGCTCTGTAAACAATAGAGTTGATGTTAGGGTGTATAGAGGTTAAATGTTTATTGTTCAAAAATTTCACAGTTATAAAAAAATATGTTCCAGACAAGCATTTTTCAATTAAGGGGAGGAAGGTTTGGTTTCAGATTCTCGGATTTTAATATATCTGAAATAATGTTGAAAGTTTCAGGAATAGGAACTTTGATAAAGAGGGATTCTACTTCGAAACTAACTAGAATAATATAGAATATAGTAGAAACTAACTAGTGTACCTTATGTAATGCTTGTTAATTTTTCAATGAAGTGAAAAAAATTAAGTACGAAACTATCAGTTTTCCCTGTAAGGGGTTTTAATAATAGGTCGAAGCGTTAATCCTGGTTTGTGAATCTCTGGTAGTCCGTAGAGACGAATAATTTTAGAGTCATGAGGGGTGGCAGATTTTTTCACGGAGTCTGATAGAGAAGAAGCCTTAATAACAGATTTAAAGTTGCGATCCATAGATGACGTAGAATCTTTTTTAAGTTGACGATATGATCCGTCTGTAAGAATATCTTGAATCTTTTCCTGATATTCATTTGTGTACATGACTACCGTAGCATTTCCTTTATCTGCTTTTAAGATTACGATGTCGGGATTACATTTTACAGATTTTAGGGCAATATGTTCAGGTTTTGCAAAATTAGATTTAGGAGGTTTTGATTTTTTAAAGATTTTACGGTTTCAAATCGAATTTCATTAGCTGTTTGAGATGGCAATTTGTTTAGGATAGAATCGACATTTCAAATGATTTCCTCTTTTGGGATAATACGTCAAGCAAGAACGAAGTTGGAACCATTTGAAAGAACTGATTTTTCCGTTTCCGAAAGTTGGTGCGATGATACATTTATCACAGTGTTTGGTAGTTAAGACGAGTGATGGTTTTCCTAGTGTTGACGTTAGTTTTTTAATTTTCTGAGTGTGAACTCGGATGGGGACAATATGGAAGCAATTTCAAGTTGTAGAGACAGAAGAGTCCTATTGATTTGGTCTATTTCCTTACGGTTATGAGTAAAATGCGAGACAGTGTCAGTCAAGCTCTGAAGAAGCCAACAGGATGATTGGCGACACGTCAGCAATTTCGGCTCAGCAATAACCAATGCAGGAGGAATCCAGAAGTTTTGTAAAAAGTATTACAGTAGCCTGTGGAAATTTCTTTGAACAAAAAAAAGGATTTGTTATTTATTCGTAGAAATAGAACCACATAGTGTAGATGCTATTTCAAGGTAATTATGCTTTGAAATAAAGATGATTTATTATTATTATTATTATAAAGACTTTACAAGGCAGGCGAAGTACCCTAATAGACATATACCAACTAGACAATCTCTTCAGTGTTTAATGGAACGGTTTGTTGCTACTGGTAGTATTGAATATGAAAAACGAAGAGTGGTAAACCGAAATACTACCAATGAGGAAAAAGAATTGGAAATTTTACTTTAAGTTCAAGTTAATCCCCAGGTCAGCAGCCAACCTTTAATCGCATCATTATAAAACGCAAATATCATCACTTCCATATAAAACTACACCAAGAACTTCTATTTTATAAACTTCTGCACCGTTATATATGAAGCAACAGAGACCGAAACAATTTTTTTTGTATAAAATAATGTTTTCCGCAGTAATAGTGCAATTAATCGTCATAACATGCAATATTATTCAAAGTTGATCCATGTAGTGTGATATCAAAACCATTGGTCACTTAATGTATGGTGTGTATAAAGTTATTAGACCATATTTTTGTCGCAAACCACTTCGTCAAGAAGTTGGGAACACTTAGACCCAACAAATGTGGTTTCAGCACTATTGAGAAGTTGCAGAATTTTTAAATAATCATTACACACAGAAATGGATCAGTAGAGGTGGAATCATTGACCGGCCCCATCGAACACATGACTTAACATCACGGAATATTTTAAAGATTGTGTTTATGCGCATCTCGCTACAACAAATATGGAAAATATGATTCGTATGACCGTTTATGGAACGTCCAAGTAAAAATATGAAAAAGACTAAACATGTGTATACAAGTAGAAGGACATATTTATGAACATTTATAACGCCATTATAATGATTAAAAATAAGATAAGTTAATTTGTAGTAATATATTTACTTTTTCTGTGAATTTAAATTTTGGCTGTTATTTTCACCCAAATAGTTAACCACTGTCTGTTGTTTTATCTATGACTCCAACAAAGTTCTTTCTCCTGTTCGTTTTTTAATCTTAACAGAGCCCTGTTGGCTGATAGTTTTGTCATGGCTAATATTATGGCAATAGACAGAAAGAAGGGTAAATAAATATTTAAAACGATCAAAATAAATGGCAAAGTATTAAAAATTGGTATATTGGTATATAAAAAAGAAAAGAAAAAATAATAATTTAAGAAAGTCAAAATTTTTCAATTTAAAATTATTCAAATATATTCGTTTATTTTGAACACTTAAGTATGAAAACTAGTATTTTTTGGAAAAATTATTAGGGAAAGGTATGTATTTTTATTTATAAAATACATATTTCGAGAATTTCAAAACAAATTCAAAACAAAATTTAAAAATAGAATGTTCCATTTAATAAATATATGTTTAATTCATTCTGCTTTTTTGAGCCATCCTGAATATTTGAAAAATAGTTATAAATTGTGCATCCTAACAATCCTTACAACTTTTATATTTACCAATTTTTGAAACCAATGAGATTATGAACTGTACTCTGTCGTTAACTCACCCTGTACATAATCGAAAAAATAATCGAAATAAAAGTTATAGCCTGAGCTCTGCCACGGTTCCCAAAATAACCCAAACAAAATTTTTATATTTAACAAAAATGCTTCCCGAAGCGTGATAGCTTTTAAACTTTTACTCCACGAAGTCTATCGCTGTAAATTTTGCACACTTTAGCAGAACTGATTTTTCCATTTTTTACCCATAACCGGCACACCCTGTAGATTTTAGGTAATTAACGGATAAAAAAGACTGCGACTGGTTTAGGAATTTTTGTGTTGACAAAGAATAATTATTTCATTTTGTGTGATGTGTTTTAGCGTGTCACAGTTATATTGAATACTAGGTTAACTGTACCTGAGATCTCAGTTTAATTTGTTCCTCGACTACGTCTTTTGGCAATGCCGAATACTCTGACTTGTATGGCAGGGATTCAAGAAACCCCAAGAATTTCGCGAGAAGCCTCAGGTTTTTAATGGACGCCAAATACAATTTCCGGGTATCCGTGTCAACTTCCAGCACTGGAAAAAGGAAACGTTACAAAATCAAGCTCAGAGTATTAACCTCTTACCTCTATCGACGGCCAGCTTGCTATCGTTTAGCTCTATAATATCAGCTATAATGGAATCTGCCAAGTGCCTATTAAAACTGTAATTAGAAGCGGTGAGGATGAAAATTTCAAAAAACTCCTGGTCCCCCCCGAAATTGGGTACAGAGTTAATGGAATTTGAGGCGGCCTTTGTCACCAACCGATTGGTTAACCTGTTTAGTTTGTCCGCATCTATATGACCCAAGTTGGGTATGAAATTCAGCTGCTTCTCCATCAACCCCCTCTCTTTGTTCTGATTTTTCGCGCAACTATTTAAAAGTTGATTTTTAAACAAGCGCGCCATGTAGGCATAGTTAGCGGGGTCCGAGCACAGCCCAAACAAACTTTTGATTTTTCCTCCTAGACTTAGAAAAAAATTCCACTCAGGATCTACATGGTTCCTCTCCCAAATGCCAAATATGTCGTAGAACAGATCACGTTGCTTTTTAGAAGAGTGAAACGATGTTTGGTCGGGAAAATTCTCCTTGTTGTCCGTATCGATATTGAAGCAGACATTCGTTTGAAAATTGCAATCTACAACTTCCACAAAGGTATCGGTTTGTTTTTCCGCAAGGGAGACTAGTTTTCGGGAAAAAATCGGACATATCTTCTTTAACCTACGGTTTTCCGCGAGCAGTTTCAATGTGGTTTTGTCAAAACATTTCAAAATAGACAATTGCCTTTCTAAGCACTTTGAAGCAAAATATACAACATTTTGTGTAGTGTCAAAGATATCTAAATTACAAAAACTAGTTTCTTGGCTCAAATTATCTAAACTAGAAACCTGTGAGTTATTCCCCGGATTTAAGTTTTTAATCAAGAGCAGAGATATTAGAAAACATATTTCGCCAATAACATTAAGGACGACCTTGTTATCCAACAAAGCGGAATAAATAACCACCACGACATCAATATTGCTCTTATATGTGACTTCGTCTAATAACACAGTTTCAGTTTGATTGACACCACTACTTCTTTTAGATAACATTGTGGGTTTATTCCTTGATAATATCTTCAGTCCTCGATCATCCAATATACTTCTGCGGCCATCCGCATTCGGAGCAACTTCTTCTTTCACGTGCGTTTGAAAATTAAAACTGTTTTCATTTTTTTCAAGATCAATAAACATTTTCTTCTGACTGGCATCGGTCGGAGTGATTCTCCTAGTGCTTTTGTTTGAAATTAAACTCTGCTCCCGTTTTTTCTTCTTTGTGGAGCTTTTGGAGGTCATGATGAAATCTCCTAAGGATATAGAATGCCTATCTTTACCTTTCGGAGCGAAATTGTTTTGATGCATCGGAGAGATCGGACTTGGAAAGCTCGCATCTAACGACACCGCTGGTATTTTGGGAGTGCTGCAGTTACTTACCGACGAGGTTTCGAGGGCCGTATTATCCTCTAGTGTTTTAAACGACTGCACTTCGCCGCATTTGGCATTGCTGTAGGAGAAAACTAATCTAAAAACAAAACTAGCGAACCGCTTGCGTCTCACCAGGATATCTCTTCGTGGATAAAATTCAGAAAATACACGACGAAATCCATCCGTCCCACGTTAACGACCGAGATCTCAATTTCTGGCTGGAATATCAAAATTAATGCTTTTGAGGTTATAATTATGGAAAATTTACCTGATTGCTGTCCCTCAAAATCCATGATACTATGGAACCGACGTCGATTTTTTTATTTATTGCCCGATTAAGCAGTGCGTCGGCCATGATTAGTTTTTATTATATTTTAGAAACTCGCTTTTTAGAAACCCATTATATGTTTATTTGAATGTGCGCTTTGAACTACTTGCAATCTACTTAGAACTACCCGTCGCAACTAAAATTCTGTAGCTAGGCAACTCCTTATGCACTGAACACCGCGAATTTTTTGGTTTTGACAGAAAGTGTTCATAATTCAAATGGTGAAAAAAGTTGCGTTTAAATAAACGGCCTGGCGCCGAACGACCAATGTTGTATATATCTATCCAACCAGAAACTTGCAATTTTTCAAATCAAGGGAAAAAAGATGTTTTTTTAATTTACCGCGACAGCAAATAATACCTAACTATCGACAGAAAATAACAACTTTATCTTTGCCCCAATATTCGCGATAAAATCCCCCAAAATGTATTATCGATCATTATTCGCAATTAGTCAATAAGACGACAGCTACCAATGACGTCAAAGTTTTCGTTGGGTACGACGTTTATTTGAATTTGTCGAACGCTGGTCGTGCCCATCAGTCAGACGCCTACGATCGATTCGTATCGAGCTAACGGCTCTTCAGTTTTTCCGGTTGCGAGTTAGTGCTCTTATATATTTAAAAAAAAACTGTCGAAGTAAGTATACAATTTGATATCTTACTTTTACATACCTAGAGCAGCATCGAAAGATGGTATATTTCCATAGTTATTTGAAGTTTTTCGGTTTATTTAAATAAAAAAATATTTCATATAGATTTATAACTAAAAGCTTCTCAACACGTAACTTTGATATTAGCTAGATATTATATTTGCCGAGATTCCTCAGAATAAAAAATTTATTAACATTTTTTTTCTTCCTTTTGTCGGTAACCTTTCATTCCGTGCGACATAAAACGGAATGAAGAAAAAATGAAAGGGACGGACAGAAAATGAAAATGAATTTAAAAATATCAAATAATTCTGTTTGACACTTTATGATTTTTTTATATTAGGAATACTTCACAAAATTTCCCTTAAATTGTTGAAAAAAACAAAGATGGACAGCAATGTGCTCAATTACAGAAAAATATTTTGTCTAAAATTTTAAATGAAAATTACCCAAAAATATATAAAAATAATTATATATGACAAAGTCGCATTAAAAGATTATAATTGTATTATGTATTAAAATAAATATTTTAAAAATAGGTATAAATAACTAAACCAATCGTGGGCGCAAATACAGGGTGTCAAACTAAAATAAATTCAGTTATTCATACATTTCAGCATCATATCTTGTACCGCACTGCTAAGTTTGTAAGTGTAAGTGGCTAATAGATATTTTTACAAGAAAAATATGCGACACTGAATTTTGAAATGTTTTTTGCTCATTTCTCATTAAGCAATTAAAAATACAAGCAGTTTCTTCTCTATTATTTAAACCAACTTTTGGGAGTGTACTGTTTTCTGTGGACAGTTTGACACCCTGTAACTGACAAATAAAATATTTTTTAAACTATAAGTAGAAATTTTTAAAAATGTATTCATCGTATCAGTTGAAAATATCAATGTTCTTGGCTATTTTAAAATCTGTTCAATATAATGAGTAAAAAATAACAACAAAACTAATGAAAAAATGTAACCTGAATTTCTTGTTAAAACTACTAGACGGAGCAATGTTCGTAATTTATAAAAATGCATTAAAAGTAGGATGAATATGGGATTTTTTTTGTCTACCTATGAGATTAGTCGCGAAAATACGAAAATTTGAAATTGTGGATACAATTAAGCGCCTCATATATGTAGAAATTAGTAAAAAATGCGAGCGAGAAATTATCCCCGCCGTTATACTAATCTGTGATCGCCGACTAATTAATTAGGTAGTTGTAATTACCCTTCCGACATTGCATTTAAATCTGTTTACTATAACGTTTAATTGTTGTCCTATTGCAATGCTAAACAAATCGCAAAAATTATGCAATACTGCATTGGAAGCATTTTCGCACAAGCAGATTATAAAAATTCGTTACAATAAGCAAAAAAAGGGATACGTGATATATCTTTTCGATTTTTGGGTTTCGTTTACATTTTTCGAATCCGAGGCGTCCAAAAGTTCAAATTCAGCATTTCCATTCATTTTGGATATCTGTAGTAGATTTACTCAAATTTGGCTGCTAAAAATGAAAAAAAGGTAGGTTGCAATACAGCAAAATCAGGCCATGTTTTAAATTAAAACGATTGGTAGAGTGGCGCCAAAGTCGACAATTTTGTTAGCCACGGGCGATACTCTAAACGAAATTAATTTTTTACAATACATTTGTTAAAATTATAAAATATTGTCAAACATATTCATTGCGTTTTAAACCATGGATGTTAACTCTAGAAGTATGTACCTTATATATTATGTACTTATTTCTCCAACTTTTTTATTGTTAATAATATAAACCTAATTGTTTTTCCAATATTTTTTATTTTATTTATTTATTTGTTCTATTTTATTATTTTTGATATTGTCGTTACTCAAAAATGCTACAGGGTGTTCCACATAAACGAAGTTATTTGGATCAATTTAAATAGAAAATTCTAGATTTTCCTAAATAGCACAACATCTTATGAAAACCTACAATATTTACCCGAAGTCACAGAGATATTTTAATTACTTCAGATACTTTCGTTGAAAAGCTTTGCAGTCTTGGCTAAGTCTTGTAAAAGGCTAGTTAAAAAAAGTGACATAAGTTTAATTTTGATCGATAAATGAGGGTTTGACGGATCGTCGAGATAGGCAGAATGCAAACAACAGTTTCAGTTTCAAAATTCTAGTATATTTTTAACTACCTGTAGTGCCCGGAAAAGTTATCGATAAGCAAATGGGCACAACAAATATTTGCCATAACTCTACAACTTCTTCTCCTAGCTCTAGTGCCTTCACGATTCAACTGAGGTTATTTTAAAATATACAAATTTTATGGAGTCACAACAGCCTTTTGAGAGTGTTTTTGACTTTTTGAAAAAAAAAACATTACCGTTTATTTCGAATTACATTTCACAATGGTTTGCAATGCTTTTACATCAAATTGCATTGGTGGAGCACCTGCTAAACAATTTTTTAATATTGACATTTTACTTTCACGGGCGATAATTAATGATAACGTAAAATATGGCTTGTCAAACTTACATTCCTCGATACGCTTTTTTAAGCTTATAAGATGGACACATTAAAAAATGGTAAGTTCGAGAGCTCAAAGATGAGCTAAGTGTATCAGGTTCAAAAAGACTTATTCGGGAATAATTACGTTCTTAACTTGACCTCGTCGTAGATATAACTGGCTTTGGCAGTAAATGATGGGAGTAATAGCAAAAATTACGCAAATTTTATTTCAGAAATATTTAAAGAGTTGATCTAGTATTATAAACCTTGGCATAATGATTTCATATAAGTGTTGATAGGTTCGCAATTTATATACACACACTGCTAAATTGTTTGTATCTTTATATCGTTGTATCCATGTGTCTTCATCAATTCCTTTTTGTTACCAATTGGATTGTCATCTGAAGAAGAAAATGAATATATTAACCAATTAGAGAACATATTTCTTGAAAAACGTAATTAATCGACTTCGTGTATCATCGGATCCTTTGATTTCAAATCTACGAAAGCAAAAAATAAAATTATTTATTTCAGAAACATTAAGTTTGTTAGGTTAGATCTACTAAGTTAACTCCTAGTTTGTATATTGAATCGAATTGGGTGAAAACCCCCATTTTCCATTTTTTTTCTTCAAAATGGCGGTTATTTCGTCGATTTTACTAGTTTTTTTTAATCTAGGCTTCTTTAACTAACTACAGTGTTTTTGGTAAGGATTGAAGTGAAAATCTTTTTTATCATGTTTTTTGCCAATCTAAACGTGCAAAAGTCTGCTACTTTCAGTTTTTATAAGTTTTGCAGTCAAATGCTATTAAATTATGAGAAATAAATGCTGTGAGAATGTATAGGGTGGTCTCTTCATCTTATGCCACTATTTTCTTTAAAAATGTATGCGCTGTACCAACGTTTGTAAATGTGAAATATGTAAATAAAATAATACGCTCAAATTTAAAAAATATATCTTAATCCATACCTTTAATCCATTCTTAATACAATGCTTTTTATATTTTAAGTGTACATACTACTTATTTATTGCGCACCCTTTGTCATTCAGAGAGGTAGTACATATGCATTGTACGTTTTGCAGTTTGCTCTTCGGTAAATTTGTTATCAACAAAAAGCTGCTTTTCCGAGTATCATAAGGGAGCCTTGATGGGAGTAACTATGGTTTTTTTATTTTGTTGGAGATCTATTTGGTGACACGTTAACTACTGTGGTAATGTCTCTTTTACCTTCTTCCTTCATTTTTAGCTGAGTAGCAAGAGCAAATTCCTCAGAAGTTCTTTTACCTTTATCTGCAATCTTTAAAATGCTTCTCTGGGCGACCTATTTTTGCAACTACACTGTTCTACATTGTTGAAATATCCAATCATTGTTTATTATGTAGCAAAAAAGTATTGATCGAAATCGTATTGTCTCCATTTTGATTTTTCGGAAACCGATTTATTAATTAGGTCACAGATTAAAAACTTTAAGCCGCTTTAAATCGCAATATCTAAAAAAATATTGCTAATTTTATTATACAATGAATCTCATTTGTTATATACCTGTTATTGTTATTAATAGTAATAATAATAATATTATTATTATTATTACACTCTGGCCCCTAGCGAGTCTTCTTAAACAATTCCTCCTCCTCCTAAGTGCCGTCTCTGCTGAGGTTGGCGACCATTGTGGCATACATTTCTCTGTTCTGGGCTTGATGTATGAGGGCATTTCCATCTGTGTGGGTCCAGTCCCGGATATTTCTCAGCCATGATTTCTTCTTTCGGCCTATGTTCCGTCTACCCTCTATCTTCCCTTCCAATATCAGCTGAAGCTGTTCGTGCTCTTGGTGGCGCATGATGTGTCCGAGGTAAGCGGTTTTACGTATTTTAAGGAGCGTGTACAAGTGTGCTCGTGTGTTCATTTTACGTAGCACCGTCTCGTTAGTTGTGTGGCTTGTCCAACTGACCCGAAGCATACGTCGATAAAGTCACATCTCGAATGCGTTGAGTTTCTTGATGTCGTCTTGCTTAAGTGTCCATGTCTCACAGCCATAAAGCAATAGAGCCCATACGTAGCATTTAAGTGCTCTTAGTCTGAGAGTTATTGATAGTCTCGGATGACATAGCACTTTACGCATATTTAGAAATCCAGTTCTGGCGATTTCTATTCTTCTTCTTATTTCTTTTGAGTGGTCCAGTTGGTTGTTGACTTCTCTGCCCAGGTAGATGTAGTGTTGCACCGTTTGAAGTCTGAGACCATTTATCATAATGTTGGTTATGTGCCCCTGTGAGGATCTGTCAAATACCATGGTCTTGGTCTTAGCGGTATTGATTTCCAGGCCCATTCTTGAGCTTTCAAACAATTAGTCTCTCTTAAATAAAGTAAGTGAACTTAAGTTAAGCTTAAAATAAGAAAAATCCGATGTCATTTCGATGCTACGGTGATTTAGGTACGCATTGAAATATTTTCCAGCACTTCATTGTGACCACTTTATTTTTTTTCTAAGGCTCTACGATATATCCTT